GTGTCAAAGTGAAATATCAGATATATCAACTGTCAAACTTAGTACTTAAGGAAATTGGACATTTCATGCTTAAAAACTTAATATTAATAAGTCAAAAAACAATAGATGATGGCATGGATGCAGTGAAAAGCATCCACTTATACATTGTTAGTAGGAATGTAAATTAGTACAACCTTTATGGAAAACAGCATAGAGATTCTTCAAAGAACTAAAGGTAGACCTACCACTTGATTCAATGATCCCACTACTGGATATCTACCCAAAGGAAAAGAAATCTTTATATCGAAAAGCTACTCACACTCAAATGTTTATTGCAGCACAGTTAACAATTGCAAAGGTATGGAATCAACCTAAGTGCCCATCAACTAATAAGTGAATAAAGAAAATGGGATATATCATAGAGTACTACTCTGCTGTAAAATGAATGAAATAATGTCTTTTGGCAATCTGGATGGAGCTAGAGAGCATTATCCTAAGTGAAGTATCTCAGGAATTGAAAAACAGATGACAAATGTTCTCACTTATAAGTGGGAGCTAAACAATGAGTATACATGGTCATAAAGTGGTATAATGGACATTGGAAACTAAGAAAGGAGGAGGATGGGAGGGGATAAGTGATCAAAAATTATCTGTTGGATATAATGTACACTATTCTGGTGACAGGTATACTAAAAGCCCTGGCTTCATCACTATATAAGTCATTCATATAACAAAAAACACTTGTAGCCTGTAAATCTATTGAACTAATAATAAGAATAAATTCAAATACACTGTATCCCCACAATATATTATTAATACTCAAAAAAGGCAAATAAATAAATAATGTTCCCAGATTAGCATGTTTATAACCTTGATATATAGCAATTTCATTAATGAAATTTAAAAGAAAATAAGCAAATAACATATCATGTCTGATAAGTTTATATAGAAATGTTCAACTTTGTTACTAATAAATACAATTAAAGTTCACTGACAATCATATAATTCAAAATTTTATGTACATAATTCAATAAAATAATAAATCCACTGAAATAATTATCATTTGAGGAGTATTTACTACTAACTAGGTACTAAATTATATGATTTATATTAAAAAATCAATTAATTTCATACATCAACCTTACGAAGTAAGGTATATTTCCCCATTTTAAAGAAGAAACTATGCTTAAAATTTTCCAAGTCTTCCCATTTGTAAATTTTGTTATTTTCACAGCCTAGCATTAACCACCATACTAAATCTTTCATAAGTAATTATTCTTTTTGTCTATCTAATTAGAAAATGAATACTTTTTAAATGATGTTGTCATGCGTTAGCTAATGCAATAGGATAAGCACTGTCATTAACTGCTGGTGGATTTATACAGTGATATATTTCTAGAAACAATTATCCAATCCATATTATGAGCTATAGAATAATGAAAACACTTTGTTTCAGTGTTTTCTCTTCCAGAAATCTATCCTAAGACAAAATCTGACATGCATACAAAGACTTATACAAAAGTATGTACATCACAGTACTACTTGTAATAACAAAATTTGTAAAGAGACTAAATTAACAATATGAGAGTAGGTAAACAAATGATCAAATGTCATAAAAATGAGACACCATGTAAGTGCAAAAACAATCTTACTTATTGAATATTTAATCACATGTAAATCTAATGCCAATGTAATATGAAGTCAAATTCTTTGAAAATAGGTGGTAAAAGTTAGGGGAACCTACACTGTGCCTAGCTTTGCAAGCATCCTTGAGTGGAAATAGTAGGAAAGAATTGGAAGGGAGAGGCAGTCACTGCAAAGGCAAACGTTCAAACTTGGACCCAGTTTGGATATTATTAAGGGAAAGCTCCAAGAGAAAATGTGATACCACTACAATAATCTGCAATCTTAATATATGTTAACATTTGGCTGTATCTTGTTAAGTGTTTTATGTCATGTTTATGGTTCATAACTATTGTACTTACATTATATATTCATTTTTATATGGGTTACAATATACTTAAACACACATATAAATATAAGCCAAATGTTATCAGTAGTTATAACTGAGTGTTAACATTATGGATTATTTTTATATTCTTCATTATATTCATCTGTGTTTTTCTGAGATTTTATAATGACTATACATTACTTTTATGTTAAGAATAAAGGGAACATAATTTTAAATAGTAACATCATATAATATAAATGGTTATTTTGAGGGTTAAATAAAATAGTATATAAGAATAATCTAGCAAAGAATTTACTATATAACATATTCAATAAATAAATTTATTTTAGTATATTAATTTTAAAATTAGTAAATGTATTCCTTTCATATTAATGTATTTAAAGCTTTTAGCTCTGAAAGTAGCTACTGGATACTAAAAATTTGAATTTACAGACTCATTTATAATTTCTACTACTTTGCCATCACATATATTCCAGGGAGAAAGCAAGGAAGGATAAAGAAACTGAGATTAAACCCAGAGTAAGATATTATCCTATTGCCTAATAATTGTTTAATGTTTCAACTGCAGGGGTTCTCAAGAGAGGTGAAACCCAGGGAAATGTCATTTGCTTCTGTAGTTTTCTCAAACTGTACACAATTCTCATAACTCCATAGAGTATATTAGAAAAGAATGGTGAGGAAGGTGAGAATGAGACTGATAACTCCTCAGGTAATTATATTATAATATATCCTTCCTCCCCCCTCTTAAAATTAGCTATTTTGATGTCTTTATCATTCTCACTCTAGAATGAGTCCATATTGAAGCCACACAAAAACCCTTTTTATAGGATTTTGATTGAATGGGATGGACTATATTTTACTAAGTAAATCAGAACTGCAAATCTGATAGTACCAGAGCAAAGCCTTTTAAATGTAGGTCAAAAAGTGGGCAAAGGACATGAACAAAAACTTTTCAAAAGAAGACAGACTAATGGCCAACAAACATATGACAAAATGCTCAACATCCCTAATTATCAGGGAAACGCAAATCAAAACCACCATGAAATATCACTTATCTCCAGTGAGAATGGCCTTTATCAAAAAGTCCCAAAACAATAAATGTTGGTGTGGATGCGGAGAGATAGGAACACTCATACACTGCTGGTGGGACTGCAAACTAGTTCAACCTCTGTGGAAAGCAATATGAAGACACCTTAAAGCAACACAAATCGATCTACCATTTGATCCAGCAAGCCCATTACTGGGCATCTACCTAAAGAACAAAAGACACTCTATAAAAAAGACATCTGCATTCAAATGTTTATAGCAGCACAATTTCACAATTGGAAAGCTGTGGAAACAACCCAAGTGCCCATCGATACATGAGTGGATTAATAAAGTATGGTATATGTATACCATGGAGTACTATTCAGCTATAAGAAACAATGATGATATAGCACTGCTTATATTTTCATGGATAGAGCTGGAACCCATTCTACTAAGTGAAGTATTTCAAGAATGTAAAAACAAGCACCACATGTACTCACAAGCAAATTGGTGTTAACTGATCAACACCTAAGTGGACATATAGGAATAACCTTATTAGGCATTGGGCAGGTGGGAGGCGGGAGGAGGGAATGGGTATATACATACATAATGAATACGATGTGCACCATCTGGGGGATGGGCACACTTGAAGATCTGACTCCAGGAGGGAAAGGGGGGAAAGGCAACACATGTAACCTAAACATTTGTAACCCCATAATATGTTGAAATAAAAAAAAAACTAAAATAAAAAATAAATGTAGATCACTCAGTGATAGTTAATTTATAAAAAAAAATTGGTTTCTTTTGACTTTTTGGTGTTATGTTTATTTGAGAGAGACAATCACTAAATTAGAAATGGGCCTTATAATATTTTATTTGTGATCCCTCACTCTTGCTCAACTCCTGGAAGGCTTTTAAGAGGACTAGGAGAGATTGTGATATGCCATTAAGAGTGATAGTGTTAGGCCAGGTGTGGTGGCTCCTGTCTATAATCCCAGTATTTTGGGAGGCCAAGAGAGGATGATCACTTGAGGCCAGGAGTTCCAGACCAGCCTGGGCAGCATGGCAAGATCTCATCTCTACAGAAAATAAGAAAACATTACCTGGGTGTGGTGGCATGCACCTGTAGTCCTAGCTACTTGGGAGGCTAAGGCAGGAGGATCTCTTTAACCAGAATTTGGAAGCTGCAGTGAGTTATAATTGCATCATTATACTCCACCTAGATGACAGAATAAGATCCTGTCTCTAGAGGAAGAGAGAGAGAGAGAGAGAGAGAGAGAGAGAGAGAGAGAGAGAGAGAGAGAATTCTCTTTCTCTCAGTCTGACACAAATATATAAGGAGCTGGTGAATAATATTTAATCTTCTCATAATGGTCATCTTGTAGTTAATTTACAGCGAGCCTTTGATGAGCATCTTCTTCTGGTTGTCCCTGCTGGACCTCTGACCTATTCCTATAGTCCTTCCTGAGTTTCCCAAAGTCCTATTAACTGAAAGGACAATAGTCAGTCCTCAGTGTCCATTTTTGAAGGAGGCATCTTTCCTATTCTTCAGAACATCATCTATAAGACTAATGAAGCCTACCACCTGCACCCCCCCAACTCTCACTTTTAATTACTGCCTACCATAAATACATGATAAACTATTATGGCTAAGACTATCATTACTTTTTGTTAACTCATCCCCATCACTGGGTCAACCAGGAGTAAGGAGTAGAAAAAAACAAAACGATGAAGTGGATATAATACCCTTTCCTGTTATACAAATAATATAAGAGCAAACCCAATATCCAGCTTACAGCTCAAAATAAGAGATCCACAGTCAACTATTGCTCTTTTATAAGATATTATAAAGTCAGCAGGATTGGACTTTTCCATGTAACAGATAATTCCATTATGAAATAATCCATTCTATAAATCACTTAGGTTACTTATATGACAACAACATATGACATATAACAATAAGTAAACTTGACAAAACAAAGACCGCTTAGCAGGCAGTAAGATCCTATGCCTTCTTCCGGAAGGTTTCTAAATTTTAGTCTCAGCATTAATTCAGTGTTACTTCAATTTCCGCTTCTCAGAAAGTGGGCATTGCCTGATAATTAAGCTTATCTGGGCTTGCAGGCTTCGTGAACCCAGGGGAACTTCTGGCACTCTCCTGGTTTTAATTGCCACTGTTGTGAAGAGAGATGGCATTAGCTTAATAAGGAGAGCTGTGAGCCACAAAACCACAATTAGGTCTTTCCCTTTGGTTGGTGAACCATCACGTGTGAGCCAGAAGAGAGTATAAAAAAGGTTTGATGCTGCCAATGGATATGTGGTAGAAAGAAATCCAGAGGGCCCAGTGAATGCATGGTTAACCTTGAGATAACATTTCTGGAGAGGACTAGGGGGAGAATGGGAGATGACCTCTTAGCTAGAATGTATAGTATGAGAACCTCATCACTTAACTGACTTTTAAAACTAAACCTGCAATCAAAAAGGGACACACACACACACACACACACACACACACACACACACACACTCATTTACAAACATTGCCATGTAGTCAGAAGTTGGAGAACAGCTGTTGTTACAATACAAGAGTACTCAAATGGGAGAATGGCAGTTTTAATTGCTAGGAACCCTAAGGGCAAGCTATACACAGCAATATGAATTAGGTGCTGTGGGACAAAGAGAACAACTTCTGCGTGGATAGGCCATCTGCACTACAATGATCTTGCCAAGAAACATGCAAATCTGAAATTGACATTGCAAAAAAGATCCCAGGACCTTGGCTCCTCCACAATTTTCTGGGCCATCTTGGGTGAGACAGCTTCCAGGCCAGTCTGGCAGCCAAAGCAAGCAAAGTAAGTGGATCTTAATCATTCAGTGCAAAGTTCCTAAGTGCACACTTGAAATGCATTACTTCTGAATGACTTCACAGAAGGGAAGGAGATGGGCACATTCTGGCTGGGATTAGTGCTACTTTGAACTCTCTCCCTTAGAAGGTACTTATATGCCTTGGAATATGTATTAGTTTTCTATTGCTAACAGAATGAAGTGTCACAAGTTTAGAGGCTTGAAACAACACATATTTATTCTCCTATAGTTCTGGAGGTCAGAAGTCCAAAATGGGTTTATGAGCTAAATTCAAGGTATCAACAGAGCTGTGTGTCTGGAGGCTTTAGGGGAATACATATTCTTGCCTTTTGTAGCTGTAGAAAGGCAACTGAATTCCTTGCCTCAAGGCTTCTTCTTCCATCTTCACAGTTCATCACTCCAAATGCCCTTCCATTGTTACATCTCTTCTCTGACTGTGCCCCTCTTGCCTTCATCTTATAAATCCTTCTAATAACATTGGGTCTGCCCAGATTATTCAGAATAATACCCTCATCTCAAGATAAATTAATCATATCTGCAAAGTCACTTTGCCATGTAAAGTAACATATTCACAGCTTCCAGAGATTAGGATATAAACATCTTTGAGGGTGGGAAAGGAAGGAAGACCATTATTCTGTCTACCACAAGATATATGTGTATAGTCTTACATATGTACATCTCTATAGAGAAGGAAGGAACTCAGTTTCAAGGACACTGGAAAAACAGGAGGGGAAGAAGAGAAAAAACAGAAATACTGGAAAGGATTCAACACACTTTTTACAATGATGTGCATAAACTATACATGCAGGTATCTCTTGGATGTGAAAGTCACTATCGTGAATTTCATACATACTTTAAATTCTTTTGTAGAATCAGATAGATATGAGTGACAACTGCAACTCTTTAGCAGGTCTTCATTTTTTGCAGGAAAAATCTGTTTCCATCCACTGAACCTGGCTTACTGGTTGAAATGAAGTTTGGGTGGACATCTTTAAACTTGTGAACCCCCTTCTAGTCATTTATTATATTAATATTAAATCACATCTGTGTAAAAAGTGAAAATTAGGTTAAATACTTAGCACTACATTCAGTTTCACTTAGTAAATATTCAATAAAAGGGCAATGAAGGGCCACGCACCAGAAAAAAACTGCAAGGGGCTGACAAAGAGAACATCCTTCCTCTCCTTGCTAAGTTCAAGTCCCACCATGCACCCATCTTATTTTCCAGAACAAATTATGCCTCAATCACATCTTTCTGCTTTTGCCCTGAGCAGTTCTCTCACCCAGAATGCATCATCTCTCCTCTTTTCTCTATTAAATTCTACCTTGTATTTCAATTCTCAGCTCAAGGGCACTCTCTGAGAAATATACCTCTATTCTCTCCAAGTGACATTAATCACTCCCATCTGGAACTCATCTAGTGCTTTAAGTAGTACCACATTTTAGTCATCTCTGTGCCCTCCACAGAAGTTCAAGTATTTTGCATATTTTTAATCAATAAATGTGAGTTGTATTGTTTTATAACAATATCTATCTTGAAATAATTTGTCATTTAATAAAGTTTCCCTCACATGATAAAAATTAGAGCAACCAAATTTCTCTACCCTCAGAACAGTGATTCTAGAATCAGCTAGATAGTTTGCAAAAACAAGTTCTAGGTTTCTATCATCAGAGAATCTAAATTAGTAGGACTGAGGTGGATTCCAGGGAATTCCATTTTAATAAGAAGCCAGATATATACCAATCTGGGGAATTCTAGATTATATTTTTAATAGCTTGCTCTCACAAAATAATAAATAACAATTCCAGTAGACAGTTGTACCTGAATAGGATCATCTCCTCCTTAAGAGTTAAATAAGATCACCTTTTAGTAGATAATTTGTTTGATGAATGGATTTCATCAAGATGATGTGGCGGAGATAATAGATGGGTTGACAAAAAACACAGTCTGTGAATATCTAATGCCATCTGACAAGTAGCATCTGCTGCTGAACTTGGAATTTTCTGTCTCCAACAATATGCCATAAAGGCCAGCTCAGGGCCTTACCCGTATTTCTATGCACAGAATTCTTGAAGACAAATGTATTCCTAGACTACATATATTTTAAAGTAGAAATAGAAAAGCAATCAAAAGTTAAAATGAATATCTAATTGAGATTCCTTATTCTAGCTAATTTGTGTTTAATTACAAATATGGTACATGCTCACTGAATATCTCCTGTGCTTTGACTGGTAAGGTTTCATTGTATTTGACTTTTTTCAGCACCTGGAACTGTAATGAGAATATACTAATGAGATGGAAGAAAAATGCACTGTAATTTTAAGAAAAAAATATTTACAGGTGATGTTTTAATTTCAAAGATTCTTATACGTAAGAATCATATAAGATCCTATTCATATTCTTTAGCACTTAGCCTTAGTAAAATGTTAAATATGCACACACACACACACACACACACACACACACACACACACACACACATATACCAGAACATGTCATTATCTCATCTTGTCTTTAAATTATAGTTTGGCTTATTAGTTAGCACATATCTTATTATAGCCCTTCATGGCTCCCTCATTTCTCCCCTCCATAGGGTGTTTCATTCCATAATTGTCTCACAATTCAATATACCTAGAATTAATGTCTAGACTTGATTTTGTTACATGTGTGCCACCCACCACCTCTCTCTGCCCACATGAGCATTTTTATTGGAAAATTGGTATATTATAGGTTACAGCAAAAATTAACTTATTTACTTTCAAGGAACTGTTTAAAGATATATTAGCAGAAGCAGACTGTCATGTCTTAGCAAACAGTTTATTCAGTGGAGTTACTCCCTCTGAGTGCTATATCTTTTGTGATATTTCCTCCAGGCCATCTGACAGAAATAGAAAAGTAATTATTTCCTCATTCAACTTGTACTCTTTTATCACTGCCATACAGTAAACTAAAATATAATGTAACTATTCAGAAGTATATGGTCACCTGTAGTTGAGAACATGATTGATCTGAGGTAGTCCTCCTTTCTCTTTTAATATTACTGTGCACATACAGGGGTAAAAGACTTAATTAGAAGTTTTGTGAGTATATGTATGTGGTGGAGAGGGGATACAAAAATAAGAATGATTTGTTCACTGATCTTAAAAGCTTTTTACTCTAAGAGGGTAAATTCTCCATACACACTAGACGGGCTACATAACATATAATGTTGATGTGCCATTAAGAGATTCTCAGCCTCAACATAGGTAAGTAATAATAATAACAATAAAAGGCCTGGTAAAATCAAGAAAGAATTCCTGATGTAAGCAGCATTAGAAGTGTAAAAGAAAGTCTTGAAAGTCTTGCAACATTAAGGGGTGGGATGGTGAAGAGAGAATATTTTAAGCATCATTAATAACATGAAGGAACTAGAATGCAGGAAGGTACAGAGTTACTTAACTATAAAGTCCATTTTGATGTTTTGAAGGAGAATCATTTTTGAGATTAATTCAGAAATTGTGTGAATGGAACATAAGTGAGTCTCAAATGTTAAGCTATGGAATTAAGGATATATTATGAAGCCATGATGGGCCAATGAAAAGTTTTTGATTGGGGAGTGGTGAGACAATTTTGACAGAATTATGAATTAGGAAAGAAAAAAGGTAGCAACACCAGTCATAAGAAAATTGAGGGACACTCCTCTTTGGGTCAAGGTGGAGTAACAGGGATCAGATTTGCCCTCCCACCTGCATCATCTAAAAGAATCAGAGAAAATATATCAAAAAATATAGCACCAAAGTCATTGAAATCAGACAACAAATATAAACGGTCCATAAGAGATGGCTAAACAAAAGAGACAGGCGCTATGATTGTTTCATTTTGTTGCCTAGGAAAAGTTTTTAGGTATCCCTCAGTTTAGCCCAGAAAAACCAAGGTGGAAAGAGTTTGCTGTGCAGAGTACTGGCCAGGAGAAAGATGCACAGAGGAAGAACTCCCGAGCTGCACAGAATTCCCACCCGCCCCCCAATATGCAGTTGAATGTTGATTATCATATGCATATGAGGATATCAACTGGGACCAGAGACAAAAATCATTTGAAAGGAATATAAGGAACAGTGTCTGGAAATCACACCTAGACAGGAAAAGCTCCTGTTCCCAAAAGTGAGAGTGGAAAATCTGATAATAAAAGAGGCATTGGTTAGAATACTAACAAAGATATTTTTTCAGGACTGAGGAAAATTAGCTCTAGATTAAATGGTGCTCTAAACCTACTGAAGTGTGGCAAGCAGGATTCTGAAATGGTCCACAAGATTCTGGCCCCCTGCTGTATACACCCTGTGTAATCTTACCCCTTTGAATATGGGTGTGACATGTGAATATGATGGAATAATATGTTCAGATTTAGGATATATTTTATCACAAGCAATAGAAGGATTTTGCAGATGTAGTTGAGGTTTCAAGTTATCTGATGACCATCAATTTCTTAAAATTCAGTGAAAGCTATAAATCCATATATCTAATAATCTTAATGAATTTCAACTATAAGATATATGAAAAAAGAAAATGACATCAAGACACATTATCATAAAATTGCTTAATACCAGCAGTTTAAAAAAAAAAAAAACCCAAACCAAACAAAAACCCTAAAAAGATCCAGAAGAAAAGAGGTACATTATATATGGAAAAACAAAGATAAGAATGACAGTAACAGATTTCTTGTCAGAAACAATGCAAGTTAAAAGATAGTAGATTGACATTTTTAAAGTACTGAAAGAAAAAACAAATAAGCTGGTATTCGGATGCATTTAAGCTATCTTTCTAAAAACAAAAATGAAATAAAGGCTTTTTTACACATACAAAAGCTGAAAGAATTAGTCACTAGTAAATCTGTACTACAATAAATATTCAGGAAATCCTTCAGTGTAATGGAAAATGATAACAAATGGAAATGTATTTCTACACAAAAGTATAAGGAGCATCAGAAATCGTAATGACATAATAAAAATG